GTGATTGCTTTCAGCTTCCACTGAGCCTCAGAGTGAGGAGCAATAAAGCCCTGCAGCCTCAGACATGGCCAGACTCTCAGAGCACTGAGGAAGAGACAGGAAGTTCAGAGCGTTGTTGCTTACCGTGCTGAAGGTGTTAAGAAGACCCGTTTTCTTTTCAAATTCCCTGTTTACCAAAGGAGGCTAGCAGGTTTGGGATCAAGACATGGCAAACAGCGAGAAGGCTTGCTGCTTCTTCGGAGAGCCGTTAGCGAGAAGCCATTAAAGATTCATCAGAGCCCACAGAGTGTTTGCTGGGAGTTTACCCAAGGGCTTCCTGAGGGGGGGGCACGTCTCGAAACTGATGAGACCTTCGCGGACCCTCTTCAGATTCTGCAAAATCTAGGAATAGCCAGCTGAATCTGTTAGGAGCTATACCAAAAAAAAAAAAAAGAACTTGGAAGAATGAATTTTAGAAGTCTTTCGTCGCATCTTCCGCGGCATATGACTATATCCAGTAATCAGCCTCGTGGTCGCGTGCATGTCTTGGTGGGAGGGGCAGCCCCAGGCGGCCAGGGAAGGCCACTGCAGGCGAACCCTCTGTCCACTTCGTCGGTCTGTCTGTCTCTCACACACGGGCACCCACCGCCATCAGCCCCACCCCTCAGTGTTCACCAGCTGGAGCTGACGTCCGGAGGCTCCCCGAAGACACGTCTCGTTTATATTCTTGAACCATTTGGACTTTCGACTTACCGAAGAGCCTTAAATCCCACGTAAAATCGAAGAGTAACACTTCAGCCATCTAAAACCGTGATGTTTTGTCTGTATAAGAAATGTAGCCCTGCGTCTCTTTCCTCAGTGCCCCATCGCTCGTACTGTTGCCGGTGCTTTTTTCAGACCGAGGTTTGGGGCGCAGTCAGACGTGGGTGGTGCGACAGTGTTGCAGGTGGGGTGCTCGTCTTGCATGTGGCCGACCCAGGTCATGGCCGGGAGCAAGCCCTGAGCACCACTGGGCCAGGGTGTGACCCTCCCCCAAGACAAGTCAGGTAGGACTGAAGCTGCAGCTCAGGTCCGAGTCTGATCCCCGCCACCTCACGTGGTCCCCTGAGCACAGCTGAGCGTGACCCAAGCCCCCCTTCCCTGCCAAAGGATATTTTAGGTCCCTCTGGGACCGCGGCTTGTGGTCAGAGCTGTCATATGGCGGCTCTCACATAGGTCGTGTTCACATGCGGAACGATTTCGGCACCCTGCCTGCTCACACTTGCACGGCCGCGTGTTTGAAGCACGGAGTATGTGTGTGTGTGTGTGTGTGTGTGTGTGTGTGTAACAAACTGAGGACAATTGAATTGCTTCAGTCGAAGAAGTGAATTGAGCTGCTGGACGTGGAGCTTTACAGCGAAGTCTCGTTTTTCTTTTACATTTAACAGCTAAGAACTTTGCTCATGTTTTGGTTTTGGTTTTGGTTTTTCTTTTTTTTTTAGGTTACACTTTGGTGAACGCCTGAACACTTTGTTAAATGTGTTTAGGATGCTTATGCCATTTCCTCTGATGGCTCTGGTGATTTTTAAGTTAATTAGAATTACTGTTGATTATGTCTTAGTTTCTGATGTTTGTTACCTGTGGCGGACTGGAGCGATAGCACAGTGGGTTGGGCGTGTGCCTTGCATGCAGCCAACCCGGGTTTGATTCCTCCGCCCCTCTCGGAGAGCCTGGCAAGCTACCGAGAGTATCCCACCCACACGGCAAAGCCTGGCAAGCCTGGCAAGCTCCCCGTGACGTATTCGATATGCCAAACACAGTGACAACAAAGTCTCCAATGGAGACGTTACTGGGCCCGCTCGAGCAACTCGATGAACAGCGGGACCACCGTGCTGCACTGCATTTTATCTTGTCAGGTTAACCGTCAGATGGTTCTAATCTCTTTGGTAGCGGCAGTTCTTGGTGTGATCGTGATCACATCGCCGTTTCTGATGACAGAGATTTGTATTGTGCATTTGCATTTACAACGAGCTGCCATTCAGTATTAAGGTACGATACATATTGCAAGCCAGAACGAGCAGCCCAGCGTACGAAGGGGCACAGGGCCCGATGCTGGCAGCCGTCACCCTCCGGCACCTCCAGGCCGGGCCTGCGCTGCCCCAGGCCCAGGCTAGCAGCAGCGGTGCCTGAAGACGCTTCTCGGCTTCTCACACAAGGCGAGGCCCAGGCCAGCGGGGTTGTAGGTCCACTGCATCTCAGCAGGGAGGCAACTGAGGGATACCTAAGGTGGTTTCTAATCAGAAAACCCCGTGGCTCTTTCCACCTGTCCCGAGGGGCTGCAGGAGCCTTGGACAGGAGGGCAGTCCTCTGCCACAGCTGCGTTTGTGGGGTGACCTCTGCAGAGCCAGGAGCCGGCGGTCTTGAGAAAAGTGAGTCTAGATGTACACATCAGTGAGATGGTCTTTTACAATAAACCTTTTTTTTTTTTTTTAACCATGTTTGAAGCTTTTTTGTTCTGTTTTGTTTGGGGGCCACACCCTGCGATGCTCATGGCTCTCTGCGCAGGAATCACGCCTGGCAATGCTCAGGGGACCATAAGGGGTGCCGGGGACCAATGCAAGGCCAGTGCCCTGCCATCTGCGTTGTCTCTCTGGCCCCCGGTGTTTGAGTTGTCAGGAGCGTAGGGGTGTCGAGCAGGTCGTCTGGGGTTTGGGTGTGAGATCAGACCTCAGTGAGGGGAAGAACTGGAGAAGGAGGCGGAGGGAAGGGGCAGAAGCCACGTTGGAGGATGGAGGGAGTTGGGGAATTCCACGGGGAAACGGAAGATGAGCAAGAGAAGAGACTCGGATGTGCCACTGAGTGGAGAAGAGAGGGCTCGCGGGAGGAGGGCTCGCTGGGAGCAGGGAAAGGTCCCCATGTGGTGTTACCGTCCAGGCTGAAGGAGGGTGGGGGGTGTCACAGAACGGCGGCAGCCGGAGGGTCCTGGGCTCGCTGGGTAAAGATATTTGTCCACCTGCATGTGTCGAGTTGTGCTTGGATTGTGTTGTGTAGAGCGGAGGGGGATGAGAAGGTTTCTTACACACTAATAAGTTACACATAATCGTGTGAACCCCGTGAGTGACAGGGTGTGTGTACACATCAGCCTCCGACCGAGTGCCGAGTTAAAGCACTGGACTCGGGAGCACAGATTCTGGGCTCTGGTCTGGACTCTATCCGTTATTTGACTGTGCAGCCATTCGCTCATCTCACGGCGTGGAGAATCAGCAGAAGCTCTGTCCTAGCTTCAATAATGTGGTCCCGGGTTTAGGCTTCCAGTTTCGACACAAGCGCCAGGCGATTGCGCACCACCTAGTGGAGAAACTTCGGAGCAGATCAGTTTCCGTTTGTGCTGGACTGAATGATACGGATGGGCAGGGGAGGGGCGTGGAGAGAGGACCAAAGGTAAGACACTTGCCACGGTGACCCGACCTCAGCCCCCCGAGGACCCCCGTGCCTGCCAGGAGTGAGCCCGAAGAACCACCAGGTGCAGCCCAGAACAGTGCTGGGTGGGGCAGTGGCACGGCCCCGCAGGGCCAGCATTTGCCTGGGTTCATCCCCGAGCCCCCTCTGGGCTGAGCTGAGCCCAGCTGGCTATTCTCCCTTTCTCGAACAAAGAAAAGATAAAAAGCTCCGACAGATAAATTAACCCTGAGCCCTGTAGGGCTTGATTTCTTTACCTGCAGAACAATAGTGAATGGTTGGTGTCGTATTGAACCTTTTCCTCATAATTTCAGTGGTGTTTAAGTGCACAGTGCCGGCACGCAGAGTCACTGTTCGTGGCCTCCACGGAGTGCCCCAAGCCTCCACCCTGTCCTCCGTCGCCCGGGCATCTCTGTTACCCCGCCCCGCACACTGGTCCTTGGGGGCCGACTCGGTGATGCTGTGTGGTTCCTCCTGGCTCTGCACTCAAGGGCCAGTGTCGGTGGGGCGAAGGCCACTGTGTGGGCTCCGGAGACCAGGTCAGCTGCACGCACAGCCAGCGCCCCACGGGCCTGTCTCCCGGCCTGCACACGCTGTCCTCGTAAGGTTTCGGATCCAAGGCCCAGGGCTTGTCATTTCTGGAGGACGTCTGTTCGTCTCGTCTGCAGACGCGTGAGGCGTCAGTGCTGGCTCTCTAACTCGGACCCACCGGCTGCACGGCACCCGTTGCCTTCCCCGGCCACCGCTCCTCCACCCTGTCTCTGGGCATTTGGGTTGCTCAGAGCCTGCAGCTGGAGGAAACGCACAGTGGACACGCGTGTGCCTCTGTCTTTTTGCGTGAACGTTTTGAAAGTTGTGGGGCTTGGAGGGTGGAAGCCAAGAAGGGGGATTGCTGTGTTGCGTGGGAGGTTTACTCGGGGGTCGAACCACGTCTAGCAGTGCTCAGGGCTGACTCTTGACTCTGCACTCAGAAATCACTCCTGACAGTGCTCCGGGACCCCATGGGAATTGGGATCGAATCCTCTTCCCAGGCTCACACCCTCCTGCTGTGCCTCCTTTCCTTACTCGTCATTTTTAAAGGAATCTCGATACTCGTTGCCATAGATGTCTCGCATCTCTTGCCCAAAATCCATCCTCCTGGCGCTGTCATGTTATTTATGACATTTTTCTTGAAAGTTTTTATTGTGTAGTAGGTTTTTTTTAATTTTGTGGGGTATTTTTGTTTGTTTTGCTTGTTCTGTCATGCCCACTGGTGGTTGGGCCCCACAGGGTGTCCACTTGGTTGCTGGGGGGGTGGGTGTGGCCGGGGACAGACCCTGGGGCTGCCACATGCAAGGCAGGCAGGCGCCCGGCCCTTGTTGCTCCTACGCTTCCCAGCCAGCCACGGGGGATGTGACGGAAGCACGCAGCATGTGGCTGGGAGGCCGAGGACTCGGTTCTGGGTTTCGTGCTCACGTCTGTGATTGCAAACCAGAGACTGTTCTGACTGCAGACACCTGGGGGGAGGCGGGGGGTTGCTTTTCGTTTGTTTTATTCAGTGAAGCCACCCGCTATATTTTGATTGTTTTTCTTGGCCTTTGCAGGTTCAGGGACAAGTTCACCCCACTCTTGAGTCTAGTGACGACGCTCTTCAGTATGTCGAAGAATTGATTTTGCAGTTGCTGAACATGCTCTGCCAGGCTCAGCCCCGAAGTGCTTCTGATGTGGAGGTATGATCGATTCTGCTTTTCCCCCCCTTTTTTTATAATTTTATTTATTGAATCACCATGAGAGCAGTTACAAAGCTTACAAAGGTTTAAGTCTCGGTCATACAATGAAGCACCCGTGCCTTCACCAGTGCCCATTACCCACCACCAAAATCCCCAGTATACCCGCCAACCCACACCTCCCCTTACCTGTGGGGCAGATGATTTCCACATTACTCTCCACTTTGATCACATTCAATTTTTCGACACCAGACCCACCATTATTATTTGGGACTTTACCCCAACTCTCGGATCTGCCAAAAAGCAATAGACGATTTGTTTTCTGTTGCTGGTTATGAATAACGTGATGTCGTGCGGCCGCAATGGTGGCTGCACGATTTTGGAATTCCTAATTTTTAACAGTTAAATCTGGTGATTGTACTTTGTATTGATTCAAGGAGCTAATCTGGGTGCTTATTGTAATGTCAGTAGTTGTTACTGTTACTGTGTTTGGCATATCGAATACTCTCGGTAGCTTGCCCGGCTCTCCGAGAGGGGCGGAGGAATCGAACTCAGGTTGGCCATGTTGGCCGCGTGTAAGGCGAACGCTCTACCGCTGTGCTATCCTCCGAAGAATTTGTTTTAATACATAGATAGATATAGATGTATGGTACCTATCAATCTGTGTGTGTGTGTGTGTGTGTGTGTGTGTGTGCGCAGGTTAAATGGGCCACGTCTGACTGTGCTCAGGGAATCGTTCGGGTGCTGGGGATTGCTGCGTGCAAAGCAAGTACTTAAACTGTCACTCCAGCCTGTTTGTAATTTTTTTAAGTGAAGACTTAGAGACTTATTGTTAACTAAAGTTAACTTATTTGTTAACTTTCTTGGTGTGGATCTTAGCTTACACATGTTTTAGCTGGCAAACTTCCATATGTTTTATTTATTTATTTATTTTTGCTTTTTTTGGGGGGGGTCACACCCAGTGTTGCACAGGGGTTACTCCTGGCTCATGCATTCAGGAATTACTCCTGGCAGTGCTTGGGGGTCCATAGGGATGCTGGGAATCGTACCTCGGTTGTTTGCGTGCAAGGCAAACGCCCTCCCCGCTGTGCTATCGCTCCAGCCCTTCCATATGTTTTTAACATAAGGTGAACGTTCGTCGTCCTTCAAGTCCACACACATGCCTCCCATGGGTCCCTCGCGCAGGCCGGCATGTGTCCCTGCAGAGCTGACCCCTCGACTGACCCTCTCTCCGAGCGGATTGTCTCCCGCAGCTGGAGTGTTACTGAGACAGACTCGGGTCAGATCTGTTCCTGCCGCCCCTGCTGGGGTCGACGGATTCCTGCCAAGATGCCCCAAGCTTCTCCAGGGATATTGTGGCGGGAGGGAGCACTCTGAAGAGAGATTCTCGCGTGTAGGCAACAGGATACAGAACCCAGAGAAACCAGACACATGTCGGTGTGTGCAGTGGGAAGGAGTCAGACACGACACGACATCATGTTATTCATAACCAGCAACAGAAAACAAATCGCCTATTGCTTTTTGGCAGATCCGAGTGTTGGGGTAAAGTCCCAAATAAAGACCCAGTTGGTGGGTCTGGTGTCGAAATATTGAATGTGATCAAAGTGGAGAGAGAGTAATGTGGAAATCATCTGGGAAGGAGTCGGAGGACCCAGCTTTCTGAAGACCCCTGTTGTTCTAAAGCATTCTGGATAATCCTTTGCTCTTCAGTTGTTCCGTGTGGTTAGATCGGAACTGAGCCCCCTTTCACTGAAGTTCTACATCTCTTATGATGGTCCCTGTGTTTAGAGCTTTGGTTTTGTGGAGAAACAGGTATATGGAATAGCAGTGCTCCGTCAAGGAGTGGGGTGCTTGAGGAACTGGAGGGACGCAGTGATAGGGACCTCGGGACTTAGCAGTCCCTGCTCAGACAGAGCTGGGGAAATTGAGTTCGGGAGGAATCAGGTTTGAAAGAGGAAAATTGGAAGTACTGATTGTAGAAAGGGGGAGATCGAAAATGCGTGAGTTTCCTGTCGGGACTGGAGAGACGGTCCAGAGGGTAAGGTACGTGCCTATTGCTCCCCGTGTCCTATATGGTCTCCTAAGAACCTCTCGGGGGAGTGATTCCAAGCCCTGAGCGACACTGGGTGTGGCCCAAACCCATGGGGTCCCCCCCCTCCCCCCAAGTTTTCTGACAGTGATGAAGGATCATTTGATGTCAATGATGCTATATGAGTGAAGCTCCAGCTATTTAGAATTTGGCATTTCTTTCGCATTATTTGAATGTGAGTGCAGAAAAGATAATCGGGTTGAATATTTCACTGTGGATATTCAGTGGCAGAATCGTAGGGAAAGGGATTTATGGAAATTGGCTATCGCAGTGCTTCATGCCCTGCTCAGGGTCAAACGGACGTCAGTCTAATAATGGTTTTATGGCAGACGGCGACTAGGGAAGTCTCTCCTTCCTTGGCATTGCTCTCATTCCCTGAGGGCTGAACAGCGGATATATGGGTAGATCAATGAGAAATTGCTGGGGAAGAGCACTGAATAATCTAAATGAGATGTACAGGATAAAAGTGAAAGAGCAATGCCTGGCATTTGAATTTTCCTCCTGGCAAGCAGTCCTAACTTGGTGTTTCGGTTTGGGGCTGTGTCTGGCGGTGCTCAGGACGACAAGCCTAGCACCCAGGGGTCCTCTTTGGGGGTGCCGAGACCTGAAGGCAGAGCAGAGTGTCCCCCGCCCAGTGCCGAGTCAGGTTCAGGATGGTCCCGTGGAGATGACGCCTTTCCCGTGAGACAGTGTGACTCCAGGGGATTTTCATTTTCCATTCACTGCTGAATAGCCGGCACCTAAAACACTGTCTAGTGCGGAGAAGACTCTTGGGGAGTGCCTGAGGAATGGATGTGTGTGGAATCGGAAGGAAGGACGAAAGCGTGGCTGGGGCTCTCGGGCCAGACCCACCAGTGCATGGGGCAGATCGGGGGTGGCAGGGGAGTGATGGTGTTGAACCAGGACTGCGCGCTGCCGTCTGGGCCACAGCCCTGGCCCTGAGCATTTCAGTTCTCTCTGGGAAAGAACTTCTGCAATAGCAAAGGTGTTTCCCCTGGCGGGAGTGACAATACAGCGGGTAGGGCGTTTGCCTTGCACGCAGTCCAGGGGGTCCGATCCCATCCCCAGCATCCCATATGGTGCCCCGAGATCGCCAGGAGTGATTCCTGAGCCTGGAGCCAGGGTGTGGGTGTGGCCCCCAAACCAATCAAACAACGCCCTGCAAAAGGTGTTTATCCTGTCGCCCTGCCTTGTTATTTTTAAGTACTTAGCATGGGTTCCTTTAAGTACTTAATGGGGGAGTTGGTGGTGGGGTTGGGGTTGGGTTTGTGCATGAGGGAGATGGGAGCAGGCGTCAGATGGATAACGGGCTCTTTGGGCCCCTGGGACTCTGACGCCTGTTGCTTCTAGTACCCTGGAGAGGGATCGTTTCTCGACTTACGTACGTTCTTCTAGAATTATCAGTTAGAAACTTTCGAATAGAAACCATGGAAACTTGTATTTTTCTCCAGTCCAGTTATTTTCCAGATCGCCTTTTTCTGTATGATTCCTAGAGAGGCATTTGTTAAGTGTATGGGGATGAGGAGACGAATCTGACGAAATTTCAGCTTTTTTTCATTAGGAATTGATTCTCCATTTTCTTCATCCATTAAGGTTCTTTAATTTTTAAAACATTTCATCAATGTAATAGATTTATTGGGCTTTCCTTTGAAATAGCAAGAGATACGAATTTGGCAAAGTATTTAAATACATTTGATGTAAGAGATGTTTCCATCAGAATCTGTTCTGGGGGTTTGGCTCTGGGGAGCGTGCGGGGACTCGAGCCAGATCCTCGCACCCACAGGCAGGCCCACCCCTGGTTGTGCACCCAAGCCCAGAGTGAAAGGCCCTGTGAGACAGCGCAAACGTGTGTTCTGTTCGGGACAGCGGGTGGCCACTCTCCTTTCACACACCTGCCCTGGGTCTGATCCCGGCACCCGACGGGAGAGATTCCTGAGAGCAGAGCCAGGAGTGACCCCTGGGCACCGCCAGGTGTGTACCAGAAACAAAACCCCCAAAAGGTGCTTTGTTCATTTTATATGTTTTACAGTGGATGTTTTGGGGCCACCTTGGCAGTGCTCAGGGTCACCCTGGCAGTGCTCAGGGGTCACTCCTGGAAGTACTCATGGGTCACCCCTGGCAGTGCTCAGGGAGGCCCGTGCCAGGCCAGGGGTGGAATCAGGGGTCAGCTACATGCAAAGTGGGTTCCCTTTTTTTTTTTTATTAATCTCTCCCATCCCCATGAAGGTATTTCAGAAGATGGTCCCGTCTGACCTAGAGGAGTGTGTGTATGTTCATAGAATTCTTTCTAAAGAATACACTCTGCTACTCTAAAGTCTATGACCATTCAAGTGAGGTACAATTCTTGCTTAATATTCAGCCCCTAGGGAATTTGTTTGATTGAAAAACGCGGAGTGATTTTTCAGTTGCCCTTTAGTTTTAGGAAAACAGATATTTCAGAAGTAACTGGGAACGGAGGGTCCTAGGCATATCTCGCCTTACTTCTGCTAGTTGGAAAGTTCTGATAAATCGTACTACAAATTATTACATCAGCTTCGAACTGTCACAATTCAAACAGGGTTTTAGTTGGATATTTTTTGTGTTTAGTTTTGGGGGCCCCCCAGTGGTGGCTGATTTTCACCTGTGCTTTGCTTGGAGTATCTTGGGGGGCAGTATGGCCCCCACTAAGGAACACTCTGTAAATACCTTGTATTGTTAGATGAAGGTGTGACATCCTGGCAAGTTGCTCAGCAATTAGGCATTTGACGGTTTGTAAGCAGCATTTTCACGATAATTAATGACTTCTATAGAATATACCTCTGACTACATTATTATTAGTGATCACCTCTTATGGCAGCTGACTTAACCCTGAACATAAATGGAGAAAAAAAATTATTAGGCTGAAATATTTTTTCCTTTTTTTGTATGTGCAGGTTACTTTTTATTTATTTATTTATTTATTTATTTTTATTAGTGAAACACCATGAGGTACAGTTGTAGACTTATAAATTTCTGTGCTTGGGTTTCAGTTATACAATGATCAAGTACCCATCCCTCCACCAGTGCCCATCCTCCCCCACCACGGGTCCTAGCATCCCTCCCACCCCCCATCCCCCCGTCCCACCCTGCCTCTGTGGCAGGGCATTCCCCCTTGTTCTCTCTCTCTTCTTTTGGGTCCTGTGTTTTGCAAGAGAGGCCTTGAGCGGCAATCATGTTTGGTCTATAGACTACTTTTAGCATGCTTCTCCCACCCTGGGAGGGTCTCACAACACCCTTTATTTGGTGCTCTCTTCTCTATCTGAGCTTCCTTTTCACCTAGCACGTGTGGCTGGCCTTCCATTCATGGAGCAAAATTCCTGGTACTAATTTCAGCCATTCCTGGGTGTTAGTCTCCCTTTTTGTTGCTTTATGTTCCCCAGATGAACGCAGTTTTTCTGTGTCTATCCCGCTCTTTCTGACTCATTTCGCTTAACATGATACTTTCCATGTAGTACCTCTTGTATGTAAATTTCATGACTTCATCTTTTCTAACAGCTACATAGTACTCCATTGTGTAAATGTACCAAAGTTTCTTTAACCAGTCATCTATTCTCGGGCACTCAGGTTTTTTCCAGATTCTGGCTATTGTAAAGAGTGCTGCAATGGACAAACAATTGCAGATGTCACTTCAACTGTACTGTGCAGGTTACTTTTAAAAATATATATATTTTCCACTCATAACTTCATAGACATAAACTTATCTGCATATAATTCTTTCCAATTTATTTATTTATTTGTTCTTTGGGTCATACCCGGTACTGCACAGGGGTCACTCCTGGCTCTGTACTCAGGAATCACTCCTGGCGGTGCTCTGGGGACCATATGGGATGCTGGGAATCGAACCTGGGTTGGCTGCTTGCAAGGCAGACGCCCTCCCCGCTGTGCTATCGCTCCAGCCCCTCCAATTTATTTTTAAAATTTGCTCTTAATCTGTCCCGAAATTCGTGTTTCTTTTTTTTTTTCCCAGCGTATCACAAAAGAATCCTTTTTATTTTCCATTTTAATAGCGCATGACTAAGATTTCGATCTAGATGTTGTACAGTCAGAAGTGCTGTTGAAGTTCTGTTTCGTTTTGGGGCCACACTTGGCAGTGCTTCAAGGGCCACTTGTGAACACTTGTGGAATCAGCCACATGCAGGGCGGGTGCTCCTTGCTTTATTCCCTCCTCCCCGGCTGAATTTTGCTTGTGGCATCCCTGACTTCCTTTCTCCCCTTAATGCTGTGTGTTTTTGTCTTCTGTCGCAGTCCCCGGGAAGTGACCAGCTCACTCGGGTTGGGTTCAGGCCTTGGTGCTCCAACCGGTCCCTCCCCCGCGCCACTTGCCCCTGCCGGTGCCGGTCTCACCCCTTGGCTCCCGCCTGCATTCCCCAGAGGCGCTGCCTTGTGAGCCGCACCGTGGCTGACCCTGTCCCTGGCGGCCTGGGCACAGCCCCTCCCTGTCCTTCCGCAGCCCCCTCGAGTGGCATGAGGCTTTTTTCCCCGTTCGACTTTTGGGTCACGCCTGGCCATGCTCGGGGCTTCCTCCCGGCTCCGCACTCAAGAATCAGTCCCTGTGGTGCTCTGGAACCTCGTGGGGTGCCGGGGATCGACCAGCTGCCTGCTCAGCTCCGGCTCTGGCCCCGCAAGAGGCACGTTTCTTACTGAGTACCGGTTTTCGTGGGTTCTGTTTGCAGTGAGTTGGGTGGTCGTTATTCCATCCTTACGCTGCTTTATGTCTGCGCTGAGGGAGATCGTTCAGGAAGGCCGAGATTTTCCATAGGGCGATGCAGCTGGAGTGACGTTTCTAACTGGATGCTGACTGTGGGGCGTGGCGGCGTCTCTGCAGCGTGTCGCTCTCTTCCTCTTCCGAGGTCTGTGTGAGAGTCTCCGGGTCATGGCTGTGAATGAGCTGAGATGGCACCAGAGGCGGTTCTCGGGCGTGACTGCCAGGCTCCCGGGAGGGCAGGGAGATGGGTAGGAGGGGCCTGTTCCCGAGCGAGCCTGGAGATTTCTGCCAGAAGTCCCGCATACCTGGGTTTTTCCCTGCTGAGTTTTTATATAGTGCCTTTCTGCTACTATTAAATACCAATTAAGAATATGTGTTAAAGAAAGGTAGGAGCTACATTTGCTGATTTTTGATTTTAGTGTCTTGCAAGTAAATTTAAAATACTGCAAGTGAAAACTAAGTACCTTTTAGTTTAGGTGTGTTGGATTTTGTGGGGTGGTTGTTGGGGGTGGGACAGCACAGCCCGTGTTGGTCGGGTTTACTACTGACTCTGTACTCAGGGAATCACTCCCTGGCAGTGCTTAAAGGACCACGTGTGATGCCAGGGATTGAACCCAAGTTGGTCGCAGACAAGGCAAGCACCTAGCCCACTGTCCTGTCGCTTCGACCCAGCGCTTTTAGTTTACTTTAGTTGATTAAATTAGTGAAATTCAGTTTTTACACCAACAGTTTTTCGTGGAAACTCCTTATTCAATATCAGGGCCTATTAAGGTAAAGTGTTTTATTAAGAATAAAAAGAGGGGCTGGAGCGACAGCACAGTAGGTAGGGCGTTTGTCTTGCACGACCCGGGTTCAATTCCCAGCATCCCATATAGTGCCCCGAGAACCGCCAGGAGTAATTCTTGAGTGCAGAGCCAGGAGTAATCCCTGTGCACTGCTGGATGTGACCCAAAAAGCCAAAAGTGGTAAATAAATAAATAAATAAATAAGAATCAATGACGTGGGGCTCAAGAGATGGTCCCTTGGGCTAAGGCACTTTCCCTGCGCACAGCTGACCCCACCCAGGTCTGTCCCCAGGAGCTCATGCAGTCCCTGAAGGTTGCCAGGAGTGGCCCCCAACAAACAACGGTGGCCTGGGACCAGGGGAGGTCAGCCGGCTTGGCAGATGGATCTGGTGTGCTGTGGGAGGCCTGGGCTTGGGTTTCATCTCTGGCGCCCCCGGGAGGGGTTTCATCTCTGGCGCCCCCGGGAGTAAGCCCTGAGCATTGCAGGTGTGGCCAGATCCCTTGCCCCCCACCCCCACCCCCAAAGAAGCAGTCGCCTATGAAGGGTTCCGACCGATACTCTCCCATACGACATTCAAGTTTTGCTGCCAGTGGAAACTCGGTTTCTGTGGTTTTTAAATAGTTCTTAAGAAGTCAGGTTCCGGTCTGGAGCGATAGCACAGCAGGTAGGGCGTTTGCCTTGCACGCGGCCGACCCGGGTTCGATTCCCAGCATCCGATATGGTCCCCTGAGCACCGCCAGGAGTGATTCCCGAGTGCAGACCCAGGAGTAACCCCTGTGCATCGCCAGGTGTGACCCAAAAAGCAAAAACAAATAAATTAAAAAAAAGAACTCTTTGAGGGCTGGGGCGACAGCACAGTGGGGAGGGCGTTTGCCTTGCATGAGGCTAACCTGGGTTCGATCACTGGCATCCCATATGGTCCCCTGAGCACCGCCAGGAGTGATTCCTGAGTGCAGAACCAGGAGTTAAGAAAAAAGTTCCTTTACACAATTCCTAGAGGCTTCAACGGTAAAATAGTACTTGAGTTTATAATTAGTATTGCAAACAAGGACATACGGTTAGGAATCAGATTTAGGTATGGCTTCTTAAACTTCGGTTGAGCTCCTGACATTTTATGTAAGATCTTAAGTGACATCTGCTCCTTCTTGCTGTTAGCCTGTCACAGTGAAGTTGGATTTGGGACATGGTTTCCCCCTCAGTAATGAGTGGGAAGCTGAGTGTCTTCATTTCCTAATTAAGAGACTAATACACTGACATGTAGAAAGTCTTTTCTTAGCTTTAGTGTGTATATAGACTGCATCACTTGTGAAAAACATACTTTTGGTATCTTTTATTTTCAAATGAATCATAACTGGAAAACATGATTTCAAATGTTTAAGCACTATTCAGCTAAGGATTTGTTACTGAGTTTTGTTTTCCGATTTTCCAAGGAACGTGTTCAAAAAAGTTTTCCTCATCCAATTGACAAGTGGGCAATAGCGGATGCCCAGTCGGCCATTGAGAAGAGGAAGCGAAGGAACCCCTTGTCCCTCCCAGTCGAGAAGATCCACCCTTTGCTGAAGGTAAGGCCGAGTGGTGCCTGCGCATACCCCAAAGCCGCCTCCAGCCCATGGTCCCAGACGCTGCGAACACTGCAGCTGGTGGAAGCCACAGGACATGGGAGTCTCACTGGAATTCTCTTGCAGTCGTATCATGGGGAGGGGGAAACAGCAGGAGGAAACGCGAAGGTGGGCAGATGACTGAGAATCATTTCATATGGTGTGATCAAGGTAGAGAGAGAGTGATGTGGGAGGGTGTGGGGTGCGGGTATACTGGGGTCCTTGGGGGTGGGGACTGGGCACTGGTGAAGGGACGGGTGTTTCGTTGTATGACCGAGACTTAAACCCGAGAGCTTCGTGACTGCTCTCACGGTGATTCAATAAATAAGATTATAAAAAATGAAAAAAAAAAGTAAAGTGGAGTTCTTGCACAGTTCAATCAGCTAATCAGTGGCTGAATAAATAGCAGTACTCCTACATTAAAAAAATAATAAAATAAAATCATTTCATATGAACAATGATGAGCAAACTAAAAGGACTGAGGAGAGTTACTGTTGGTTTCACTTGTGTCAGGCATTATAGTTCACCAAGATATAGAACACATGTACAGAAAACTCGTTCCTTAGATCTGTTTCAGTGCAAATTCTTCAGGTTTTTCTCCTTCATTTCATCACACACACATAAGCTGTCCTGAGATTGCCAAAGTCTGTGTGTAACTTGTGAACAGATATTCCCTGAAGACCACCTAAACTCACTAGTCAGTCCCTCCTGTCACTGAACTCAGGTCACTGTCTACAGCAGTAGGGAAAAGAACTGCTAAGAACTTTAATAATGCTATTTCTGTTTTATTGATTCAGCAAGCAAACTAAATACTTAAACAATATGCAAGGCTTTGAGAAGATTGTTTCGTATTTATATTATTTGATTAGTAATAGCTGCCTCTGTATACTACCAACAGTCTGAGACATTCAGTACTAATTGGAGAAAATGACCAAATTTGTCATTTTCTTTTTAGGATTTTTTTACTAGTCAGTTATTGCACTAGACTCTAAGAGAGATAACAAATTAAGATATATGCACACTATGATTCTCAGGTTTTAGTTTTATGATCTAATTGTAGATGGCATTTAATTGATTGTGTATCTTTATTACTTTTGCATTTTACAGTTTTTATATATCCTTAAGGTAAATGCAACTTGCCCCCAACTTAAAAGTATACTTCTTGGGCTGGAGCGATAGCACAGCGGGTAGGGCGTTTGCCTTGCACGCAGCCGACCCAGGTTCGATTCCCAGCATCCCGTATGGTCCCCTGAGCACCACAAGGAGTAATTCCTGAGTGCAAAGCCAGCAGTAACCCCTGCACATCGCCGGGTGTGACCCAGAAAGCAAAAAAAAGTGCACTTCTTATTTAAAAGTTGCAGTTGGTTTGCCCACGTAATTGAATTGTTTAGGTAATAGAGTTTGTTTTCCTAAAGGAACTGCTCAGCCCTGAGAAAGACCATCTTCTTTGAAGTCTAACCTTCGGGCTGCTTAATGCACTCTTGCGCTGTCGTACAGAGCATGGCTGGTTTCCACGGAAACCATCAGATACAGTGACCCTGGTGCTTGCTTTTGGGAAGCAAGTTGCCAGTTTCACTAGGCAGGCTGGAGGCAGAGTTGCCTAGGTGCTCCTGCGTTCTGTTAATCGTGTTCAGAGTCTCGCTGGTCATGATTACTCCCAGGTACTCTGGTCAGCTAACAAACGAGTGTTCCTTTCCAACTTTCTGAACTTGGGTTCCCTTCCTAGCTTAGTTCTTATGCATTGACTAATTTGTGCTTCTTGCATGTTTCATATGATCATGGATAATTTTGCCTTTTTCTTAGTTTACATTTTTGAGTAGTCATATGTATATTTTGTGCATCGACAAACCACTTACAATTAAATTCTTTCAATAATTACAGGCCTTGGGGCCGGAGCGATAGCAGAGCGTGTAGGGCATTTGCCTTGCACGTGCCCAACCCGGGTTCAATTCCCAGTATCCCATATGACCCCCTGAGCACCACCAGGAGTAATTCCCGAGTGCATGAGCCAGGAGTGACCCCTGTGCATCGCTGGGTATGACCCCAAAAGCAAATTATTATTATTATTATCATCATTATTATTATTACAGGCCTCGATAAAAGTTTAGCTATGCTTAATTTTTTCCTGAATGTTAAATTTTCAGTATGTGATTTTCTTTTTTTACTTTTTTTGTTTGTTTTGCAGGAGGTTCTCGGTTATAAAATTGATCACCAGGTTTCTGTTTACATTGTAGCAGTATTAGAATACATTTCTGCAGACATTTTAAAGCTGGTGGGGAATTATGTGAGAAATATACGGCATTATGAAATTACAAAACAAGATATTAAAGTGGCCATGTGTGCTGATAAGGTAGGGTGCTAAGCTTTTATAAGTTTTGTTGTATTTTTGCTCATAACTTATTAGATGCTAACGTACAATTCAGACAGTAAAACTGCGTATTATATGTTGAAAGATTATTTTCAGTTATCAAAAGCAAGTATTTAAGATAATTATGAGAATAGAATGATAGAGATGCAGAATAAAGTGTTTAAACTAAATGCCAGATACTTTTTCTTTTGTATGTTGCTTGCAGTCAATAGGGTTAATAACAGTCGACTCTAAATGAATTTCCTAAGTTTATTTTGATTGGGAAACTTGAAAGGTGTGAAGTTACTTGAAAAATTTTGAATACAGCAAAGTACTCTTCTGTTCCAATGCTCTTCTTTACTTAGGCTTTACTTGTATGGTTTTGCTATAATATTAAGAGCAGATATATGCTGAGAGTCAAGCCATACTGGGATTTTCTCATTTGGTCCCTTCTGTATTGGAGGCCTGCTCCTCCAATACAGATGCTTATATCTACATTTTTTTTTTAAAGTTCAACAAGATTAAAAAAAATTGTTGCTGAAATTTCCAAGAAGTTTCTATTATAAATTTTCAAAGAAAGAAAATTTCCCTGATAAAGCATTTATTTCACTTTTTCTTTATTGATATGTAACTTTTTATTAATTCACTTAGTTCTGTTTTAGTAATTTGTCCTTCTAGAATGAGCATAGCCAAAATCATGAGATCTGAAAAGTATTTTCAAATTTCAAAATAAATACCTGCTGTTTAAATAATTACATTCAAGTGTTAGAAGATAATTTTAGTGAATCGGGTAAGTGCGACACCTTGAATGCGGGGAGGAGGTGAGAAGAGTGGCTGGCAGACTTCAGAAGTGAGACCCGGAGACAGGCATTTGCACAGAATAATACGAGTGAAATATTGTTTATTGCGTAATGGGATAATGCTTCAGACGTTGACTGATGCGGAAATGTGGTCAGCAGGGATCGTGATATTAGGCTTCTTGGGAAGAAGGAACTTGTTTCGACCAGTCTTGAGTAGATGTGTGTGTGAATGCCAACCACAGACCAGAATTACTCAAAATAGTGGAAATTAAGTTCAGAGCGAAACCTAAAACAGACTTTTGGCGGCAGCTCGAAAGCAGCAGGTTTAGAAGGGAGAAAGTTTCGTGCGAGCATTAATGGGAGTCTGGAACAGTGGCCGATGTTAGAGCCTGGCTCAGAGACCGGGGGAGGGCCCGGTGCGTCACGCGCAGGAGGAGATGGTCGCGCGTGCCTTTGGCGGTTAGGAAGTATTTAAAGGACAGGTTCGCGTTGACTTCGAGTTTGCCTTTGGACTCGCGTCTCATTGTGGCTATCTCTCTGTGTCTCCGTAGGTGTTGATGGACATGTTTCATCAGGATGTGGAGGATATAAACATATTGTCCCTGACCGACGAGGAGCCGTCCACCTCCGGAGAGCAGTCTTACTACGACTTGGTGAAGGCGTTCATGGCGGAAATCCGGCAGTATATCAGGGAGCTAAACTTGATCATCAAGGTGTTTAGAGAGCCGTTTGTCTCCAACTCAAAACTGTTCTCAGCGAACGTAAGTGCCTCGTCCGTGTAGACCGCCATCGCATGCACAGATGCACAGGGGCTCTTTGCCCCCCCAGATTCGAATGGAAATAGTTGATGATTGTTACCGTCTTCTTAAAGTTGTGAGTGGAGTTCATGCCCAATTCAGTCAGCCGAACCAGTGGCTGAATTAATAGCAGCACTCCTCCATAAAAAAGAAAATCAATAAATAAAGTTGTGAGCCTTAAATCGCAGGGACCGATCACAGGTACAGGTGCTGCAGCAGTCGGTTGCCGAAACATCAGGCATCAAAGCCAACCCGAAGCACACGGACGGCCTGGGCCGTAGTTCAGTGGGCAGCATCTGTCTGACCTCGACATCTCAGGGGTCAAAGGGGCCCCCGAGCACAACAAAAGGGATCCCTAAGTAGAGAGCCAGGAGTGATCCCCGAGCACCTCCAGGAGTGATCCCCGTATATACAATGGCGAATTCTGCCTGTGCGCCAAGGGGTGAAACCTCCTTATTTGGGTGGGACAGGGTGGGTTTGGGTGTCCTTTGGCTTGTTTTTGGTGTGTGCGATGGGGATGGGGGGTTTGGTGGTGCTCAGACTTCCTGTTGGGGTGCTCAGGATTCACTCCTGGCCCTGCTCAGAGACCGAGGCAGCTACAGCGGGGCTCCCGGGACCAAAGCGGGGTAGCTTTGGGCAGCGCGCCCCGACCCCGGACCGTCCCCGGCCGCAGGGAAGGCTGGGTCGCCCGTCTGCCCGGCTCTCAGGATGGCCTGTAGTTGGCAGCGGGAGTTCCACACTCCAGCTTCTTCCTTCAGGTGGACATTTACAATTAAAGAGACAGTACGGTCTAGAGCGATAGCACAGCGGGAAGGGCGTTTGCCTTGCACGTGGCCGGCCCGGGTTCAATTCCCGGCATTCCATATGGGCCCCCAAGCACCTCCAGGAGTAATTTCTGAGTGCATGAGCCAGGAGTAACCTCTGTGCATCTCTGGGTGTTCCCCCCCCCAAAAAAAAATGAGACAGTGCCGTGTGCTGGTGACCATGATTGAAACACAACAGAGCCAGTAGCACCGACACTCTGAGCTGACGGCACTGCCGGGTTCAGATTAGTAGCAGCCCGGCTGGTCGTGGGGAACGGCCAGGGGGAACGGGCGAGATTGTCCAAGGGAGTTGCGTTCTAGTTTTGTTGTGTTTTGTTTGGGGGCCACACCCTGCGATGCTTGGGGGGTTACTCCTGGTGCTTGGGGACCGTGTGGGGTGCTGGGGATTGAACCGGGTCAGCCGCGTGCAGGGCCAGCACCCTCTGTGCTGTCGCCCAGGGTTTCAGGCTCTGGCCTTGCATGCCGCTGACCTGCGTTCTTATCCCTGGTGCTAGTACGTTTCTCCGAGTTCCCCTGGGGGTGGCCCCCAAACAGAATCATCCTTTTCAAAAGACACTGGCAGAAGGCAGCAGCTGATACTCGGTGGTAAGTATCCCCCATGCACACGGGGCTGTTCTTAAGTGATTTGAGCAACAGCTTGATTTGTTTTTTCATTTGTGTGTTTTCGTTTTGGGGCCACCCACAGCAGTGTTCGAGGCCTGCCTCTGGCTCTGTGCTCAGGGATCACTCCTGATGGGGCTCAGGGGAACCGTGTGGGTCCTCGGCATTGGCCCCGCTGGCCTCCCACTGTGCTGTTGCTCCAGCCCCCAACTTACTTACTTTGGTTTTGGGCCACTCCCGGCAGTGCTCAGGGCTTACTACTGACTCTGTGCTCAGGGACACTCTTGGCAGGACTTGGGACCATATGGGGTGTCGGGAATTGAACCCAGGTGGGGCTTGAGGGGCCATCTGGGATACTAGGAACTGCACCCCCGTTGGGCACTGTGTAAAGGAAGACATACCAGGAAGTACAGACAGACCCAAGGCCCCGAGTGATGTCACAAGGATGGGACGCAGGCCTTGACACAACAGCCTGTGTTTGACCCCAGCACTGCATAGGGTCCCCGAAGCCCTTCCAGGAGTCATCCCTGAGCACAGGGCCAGGAGTCATCCCTGAGCACGGTCTCACCCGCAGTATTTTGTCTGGCCTGTTCAGTTCTTTTTAAGAAAGTGAAGATGTCTCCTAAACGCTCCAAGTTGGAAACTGCTGACATAGAGAAATGTCTTTGCAAATTGTCTCTCAGCACAAGAGGAACTCTTTTTGCTTTGATGTTGGGGATTGACAAAAGGAATTCTAAGATTCTACTCACGTTTGCAAGTTGTTAAGATTCCCCAATGTGGGGGGCAGCTCCCACCCTCCCAAATGCCCAGGCAGCCTCCACCGTGCCTCCGGCGACTGCCCAGTTCAGTACTACGCGTTTTCTTCAAACTCTCCAGCACTCACATCCCCGCAGTCGCACCCCAGATGGGATGGGGTGTCACGCAGAAGCCAGCCAGTGCCGACTGACAGAGACATTCGCACAGACGCTTAGCAAACCTCAGACAGAGACTTAATGCCCTCATGGGGAGATGCGACAATTTTCACAAGTGTCTTCAATGGAAATGTTTTTTGGATCACTCCATTAATCATGTAGTGGTAACAATTAATATAAAATAGGTAATATTTTGTATCTAGAATATAAAATATTATGATATTTTAGGGCCTGCTATTGGGGCAGACTTGACATGTGGTTGGGAAAATGGAGAAAGTGGAGAGGGATTGGGGTTGGAGTATTGAATGCCTGGAACAGTCATCCTGAACAGTTTTGTAAGCTAGAGTGTTTAAATAAAGTGGGGGAAAAAATCAAATTCCTCTCTTGTATTGTCACTTGTACTGGGCTGGAACAGTAGCACAGCGGCAGGGCACTTGCCTTGCACGGGGCCCGTTGTTTGTCGATTTGCTCGAGCAGGCCCGGTCACGTCTCCATTGTGAGACTTGTTGTTACTGTGTTTGGCATATGGAATACGACTCGGGGAGCTCCCGGTAACTTGCCGGGCTCTCCGAGAGGGGCAGAGGAATGGAACTCGGGTGGGCCCGGCCGGCCACGTGCAAGGCAAACGCCCGACCCGCTGTGCTGTCACTCTCATACATGTACATAGACTTCTTGGCTTGAATTGTATTATCCAGCCTAACTGAATTAATGTGTTCCTTCTTCCAACAGGATGTGGAAAACATATTTAGCCGCATAGTGGATATTCACGAACTTAGTGTGAAGCTGCTGGGCCACATCGAAGACACTGTAGAAATGACAGATGAAGGCTGCCCCCACCCCTTAGTCGGAAGCTGCTTTGAAGACTTAGCAGAGGTCAGTACTTGGCAGAGCGAATGTTCTGCTCTCACTTCTGTGTATGTGCTGTTTCACTCATGGAGCGTCAGCTGCTCCCGTTTGACCTTGCTAGAGTATGTCATAAGTCATGCTGCGTACGATGAAGGCTTCCCGTCAGGTGCGGCCAAGATTCATGTGCAAGTTTTGAGCTGCAGGGGTCAGCAGTGCTCAGGGGTCTTCTGTGTTGGCTCCTGAACTAGATAGAGTGCTCTCTCTCAAAGGGGGCCGCTGACAGCAGGGCTAGAGACGCGGGCAGACTCGGGTCCGAGGACTCACTGTTGCCTTTGAAGTTCTGCCCCTGAGGCTGGAGAAAGCACCAGGAGGGAAGCACCTGTCTCACAAGGCCAGCCCAGGGTCGGTCCCCGGCACCGCCAAGAGTAACACCCGAGCGTGGCTAGGTGGGAGCCACTGCCGAGTCGTGCTGCCTCGTGCTGCCTGCGATCGTGGACTTTTATTCTCAAGGCACGTGTCTGATTGTCAGTAGGGGGGGTGAGCGCAGCCTCGTCGCAGGAACCTGCCCGGCCTCACTGCTTGTCACGCAGCCTCCGAGAGGTGCAGTGACTCTGCACACCAGGTCGCACGTAGGGGGCGTCAAGAGAAAAACTGGTAGCGCTGATGCCAGAAGAGCTGAGCTAGTCCCCAAAGGTGGCACCGAGCATCTTGGGCCTCGAGCTCTGACTTGGTTTGCTCTCCAAAATTTTACTCTGACAGAGTTAAACTTAGGAAGTAAAGCAGGACTTCCGGGCTAGGACCAAGGGTTCGCTCACGAGCGTCCCGGAAGCCTCCGAGTCCTGGGTGTGCCAAGGAAGGAAAATGGAAGAAGCTCAGCTTGAGCTCCGTGAGGGCCCCGCTGCTCTGCTTCAGGCCCGTGAAGTCGTCAGTCGGAAAAAACGGAGCGGCCGCATCAAAACCCAGATCCGAGCGGGCCGGGAGACGCCCCTCGCCTCTGCAGGGCCCTTCGTTCCATCCCTGCCTGACTTGGCCCCTTTCCCCGTAGGCACTGCCAGCTGTCTCCTGCAGCCTCCGGGCACTGCCTAAGAAGTACTGCATTGCCACCTGTGTACGCAGCTAAGCCAGGGTCTCACCGGGAGTGGCCCCCTGGGTCCCCCAAGCATGGCTTGGGCAGCCTCACTCCCACACCGAGGCAGTCGTAGTTAGATTCGATAGGAAGAGACGAGTGGACGGAAATATATTGTTCGTGGACGGGAAAGAAAGTCGGTGTGGGAATGTGCCGGTGGCGCCCACATGATCTGGAAACACAGCACTGAGGAGGCTGACCTTAGTCGCACGGAGAATCAAAGGAACGCGCAGAGTTTGGGGGCTGGAGCGCAAGCTCAGGTGGAAGGTCCTGAGTCTGATCTCACACCTCGTGTCCTACCGGCCGCCGCCCCCCGCACACGAACACATCTGGGGCAGCGCTGGCATCCCCAGGGCCCTGCCAGCTCAAGCTCTGCCGCGTGGCAGCTGTAAAAAATACCAGGGCTGGAGAGATGGTTCAGCAGGGAGGGCGCTTGCCTTGGGTGCTGCGGGTCCAGGTTCGATCCTGGATCCCACGTGCTCCCCAGCACTCCCAGCAGGGAGCCCTAGTGCAGAGGCAGGAGTTAGCTCTGAGCACCGCTGGGTGTGCCCCCCCCCATAAATAATCATGATTACTTTGAGTAGTATCAACGCCCTACCCACTGTGCTAGCACGCGGCCAACCCGGGTTCAATTCCTCCGCCCCTCTCGGGGAGCCCGGCAAGCTACTGAGAGTGTCCCGCCCGCACGGCAGAGCCTGGCAAGATCCCCGTGACATATTCGATATGCCGAACACAGTAACAGTAAGTCTCACACTGGAGACGTTACTGGGCCGCTCTAGCAAATCGATGAACAACGGGGTGATAGTGCTACAGAATTAAGTTGATGGGGATTTGTCTATTAAGTATTGAGAGCGATGGGCTGCAGAGATCATGCAGCAGGTAAGGATTTGCATGGCAAGTGCTCAGCCTGGGTTCGGTTCCTAGTTTCCCGAGAGGCCCCTGACTCTCCCCCAGGAGTGGCCCCTGAGCAGCACTGGGTGTATATGGCTGAAAATGCAAAACAGAACAGCAAAAAATGCTCTAAGAATTATTCGTTGGATATGCGCACTGGAGCATGTACCGAGTGTGAATTGCAGAACTATTTATCAGCGCTGAAAAATGAGAGGAATCTAAGTACTAGATAGAGAAAATACACTGAAAACAGTATATTTTAGTGACATTGTATTGTATATAAAAGTTAAAAAGAGCAGATACTAAAATTCTCATGGTATTTTTTATAAAACATGAAAAGTTTGGTAAGTTTGACTGTCAAAATTAAAACTTGCATTCTGGGAAAGGCCTCCTTAGGGTGAGAAAAACAAGCTATAAATTAAAGAGAAAGATTCTTAAAAACTGATGAAGGACTGACTAGCAGCCTCCTGGGTGCCAGTCAGAGCGGGCCGGCTCCTGCCCAGGACGAGGGCTGCACGGCTAGTGGAGGAGGGTGCCGAGCTCGGGCGGCAGTGCCAGGGCACTGACCATGGAGCAGCAGGCCCTCTGGGCTACTGACCGTGCAGCGGGCCCGCGGATCAGGCACCGAAAGCATCTCTGTGCAGAAAGCTATTTCTCAAGGCGTCTTTGTCCTCACAAATCATCGAAAACAGTGGGTTCTACTTTTTATTGATCATTACATTTATTTCAGTGATTATAGCAATTGTAGCGTCTTGGCCATCTGAATTTAAATTGTTGTGCAATTATTTTGTGAAACTGTCAACGGTGACTTTTTTTTTTAAATATAGGCTGCATTTACACTTCCCACCTCTAGAGTGTGAAAGTAAAAGTCTGTCATTAAGAAATAACCCTGAGAGGGGCCAGGGATACGGCTCAGTGGTAGGAGACCAGGCCTTGGTGCACGAGACCTGGGCTTGCTGAGGGAAAGAAAAGAACTGTGCAGAAATGTCGGGCATTCTGAGTGACTGTACCCAACCGAATCTGAATGTCTCGGTGTTTTGTTACTCTGGCTAGCTTTGTTTTCCAGACCAAAAAGTCTGTTCCGTCTCAGTGATCATATTTTTGGATAATACTATACTGAAAAGTCTTTTTTTAATTTTAATTTTGTATGAGACCCATTGTATTTACTGGTTTTGGCACATCGAACTACAGCTTAATCTCACCGAAGACAATGTTTATGAGAAACAGACTCGTTCCTGATGCCCCATTCACTCTCAACGGAACAACCATCGCCGAATGCAACAGTTACGTGTACCTAGGTCGAGAAGTCAACATGACGAATGACCTGGCACCCGAGCTGCGCAGGAGGAAGAGAGCGGCTTGGAACGCCTTCAAGAGCGTCAAAGAAATAGCTAAGAGGACGAAGAACCTCCGTCTCTGGGCATATCTCTTCGATTCCACTGTTCTTCCTGCATTGACATACGCCTCAGAGACCTGGGCCCTACGCAAACAGGATGAGAACGCTATTCGGGTCTCCCAAAGAGGAATCGAAAGAGCTATGCTTGGAGTATCGCGTTTCACTCAAATGAGAGAAAGAATTTGGAGTTCCGACCTCCGTCGACAGTCAAGAATCAGGGGCACTGTCTCATTTGCCAAGGCGTAGAAAATCAGATGGGCTGAACACGTAATGAGATTTGGAGACGACCGCTGGACTAGAGCCGTTACTGATTGGATTCCACGGGACGTCAAAAGACCGCGTGGCCGCCCACCTACCAGATGGTCAGACTTCTTTGTCAAGACCCTGAACGATCGGTTTGAGGCTCTTCGTGTTCCTAGAACAAACAGAAGCCATTGGGCTACACTAGCAACGCGACAGGGACGAATGGAGACATTACTGGTGCCCGCTTGAGCAAATCGATGAGTAACGGGATGTCAAGTGATCAAGTGATCAATTTTGTATATTGGTTTTTGGGCCAGCTCTGGGTCCACTCCTGGAGGGACTTGAGAGGTCAGACACATTGCTGGGGATTGAACCCCGTTGGCTGCGTGCAGAGCAAGCACCTGACCCACTGTATTTTCTCTCCAGCCCCTAAATTTTTTTGGTAAGCGGTATTATTATGGATGAAGATCCTACTGTTCATTAGAAGGACTTTATTGACCATCTTGAGAATATTACATTTATTTTATTAAAGTTAATAGCTGTGTCATTGTAGAGATTTGAAGAGAACATTTGAATGTGCTAGTGCAGATATGCTGGTAACTTAGTTTTGTTTTGGTTAAAGAGAACTTGTTTCATCTTTTTGATTTTCCAAGGAGCTGGCATTTGATCCATATGAGTCCTATGCGCGAGATATTCTGCGACCTGGTTTTCACGATCGTTTCCTCAGTCAGTTATCGAAGCCTGGGGCAGCTCTGTACTTGCAGGTACTGTGATTTCTTAATCAAAATAGGATGCTTGTAAAAATGAAACCCGCCACACGCATGTCATGTCCCATAGCCACGCGACACCTCCGAATTCCACACGCACAGCCCGGTAGGAGCATAACTAACTCTCTGGGGAAAGGCACTGGAGCCGGCTAAGCCAGTAAAGAAAACAACAGTGCAGAAGCTTAGGGAACCCTCAGCCGGTGCCTTTGGCGGCCGCAGCTGAGACAGAACAGTTTGCACAGATTTTCTTGTACTGAGATATTTTTCTCAGTGATTCCGTTGGCCGTTTTGCTCTAACAAGCAGCATGAAACCGATTCCTCTGTGCCGCTGAGGGCAGGCTTGGGGGGTGGGCGGGAAGCGGGGATGGTGGCGGAGAGGTCACGCGGGGGTGGGCTTGCTGTGAGCATCGGACGCCCCGAGCAGCTGTGTTCTAAGCCACTTTGTGAAACACCGTGTTTAACGAAATTTTTTTTCTTATAATTTTGTTTCCTAGTCCATAGGCGAAGGTTTCAAAGAAGCTGTTCAGTATGTTTTGCCCAGGCTCCTTCTAGCCCCTGTTTATCACTGTCTGCATTACTTTGAGCTTTTGAAGGTAAGAGACACTCACTGCAGTCTGTAAAGCACGTAAGCAGGGGCGTGCGTGAGAGAGTCTCTGTCCGTGCGCTTCGTCTGTTTCCTTTTTCCAGTTAAAAGCAAGAGTGGCAGCTTCTCACAGCGGACTTGGAAGGAATCCGCGTGTTTTAAGTGTGAGGACATGGTTTCCATGACCGGTTCTTTAAAGACCACCTTTTCTGCACCCGTGGAATTCCATCGATCCGGGGACTTGGGTGGCGCCAGACCAGTGGGCCGTGCAAGGCCGGGCCAGCTGGCCTTTGCAGTTCAGGGTTGCAGCCGTTCCCGTAAACCCCTTCCTGCTCACTCCTGCTGTGAGCTGGGTATCACGGTATCACTGTCATCCCGTCGTCCATTGATTCACTCAAGCAGGCGCCAGTAACATCTCCATTTGTCCCAGCCCTGAGATTTTCGCGGCCTCTCCTTCCTCCTTACTCACGCACGGCAGAGCCTGGCAAGCTACCTGTGGCATATTCAGTATGCCAGAAACAGTAACAAGAAAAGGTCTCATTCCCCTCACCCCGAGAGCTGTGTATTGTCTTCAGAAAATCCCTCTGGTTGAGGGTCAGGAGCCCCCAGTCAGCAGCAGGACCCGGGGCTGAGGCGAGAGCACTTGAAGGGTGCAGCTCGCCCACCGCCCACCCGGCCACCCCCGCGCCGCTCCCCTGGACCTCTGAGCACAGCCACCAATGGCCCCGAAACAAGACCAAAACCATTTAAAAGGCCTTTGCTTTTCTTCCTTTTCTCTGAAATCATCTCAGCAAAGACGCTTTAGTTGTTCATGATCCGAAAGTGTAGTTCCGAGTGATATGCCTTTAAATCTTTCACATTTACTGATGTTATCTGTTGGTTTATGTAAGATATCCTGTAAACGTGATTTGCTTTTTAAGTGTCTTACTGCCAGTTGGCCTATGTAAAATATGTTCTATAAAAATTAAGAATTTCCCCCCAAAAATTGTTAAGTAATGGCTGAGGCAATGAAAATACTCTATTTTTCACACGCAGTGCTCTTTTCCGATCCATGGCCCAAAGCGGGGAAGCCATCCCTGAGGGCGAGGCCCTGAGTTTGATCCCTGGCACTGCCCGGCTCTCAGCACCCCCTGGTGTGGCTCTGGTGACCCCCAAGCCCAGAGTCTCAGGCTGGACAGAGGGTACCCCAGAGTGGCCCCCTGGAGCTCTGATGGAGAGCTCTCTTTTCGCTTTGGTCCACACCCAGCGGTGCTCGGGGCAGACTCCTGACTCTGTGCTCAGGGATCACTCCTGGTGGGGTTGGGGGAACCATCTGGGGTGCCGGGGTTGAACAGAGCACGGGCCTTGCCCACTGTCCCCTCTTTGGCCGCAAAAGTAATTCGATTAAGGACAACTTCTATTTAGTCTGCCCTAGAGCGTGCACTACTAAAAATCGTTAGTGCTTTGCAGAGAAGACGGGGAAATGGGCTCTTAGAGTGGACAGAGATGAACTGAACTTCCGTTGGATTCTGGAGGCTAAGGAGGCGCTCTCTCCTGCTTCTTCCAGCCCCGGCTCCTGCACACGGGTGCCGTTAGGGCTCCAGTTCGAGGAGTTGGGAATTCAAGCGCATGGTCACGGGACTCCCAGCTCTCAGCTGTAGCAGTGAACGGCATAATTTTGGGCGCCTTTGACATCAGGGATGATTTTATTTTATTATTATTTGTTTGTTTGGGGGCCAGACCTGAGTGTGCCTCGAGCCTCCCCCTGACTCTGCACTCAGAGGGGTCTCTCCTGGTGGTCGTGGGAGACCAGCAGCAGCACCAGGGATTGAGCACCCCACCCCGGGTTGTTTTAAGAGAACGACCGCTGGAACGTGCTTAGTGTGTGAATCATTCGAAGAAGTGATTTGGTAAAATTGCACAGAGTGGGGAAGGTTTTTCACTTAGATTGCTTCAGAATCATACTTATACTCATGGGATTTTTCTTAAGGCCGTAACGAAATTCTGAAGAATTAAAGGATGGTGAAACCTCGAAGCAGTCATCTGTCAACAAACTGGCAGCATCGGGGAAGGTTTGGAACCAAGTTTCGCTGCAGAGTCAGCAGTGTGTGGGGTGGGACCCTGCCTGATGAGCCCACGGGCTGCGAGTCTAGTTTTGTTGTCTTTGTTTTTTGCGTTCGCTGAGTGCTGAGCTGTTACTCGTACTCATCTTCGATTTGTTTTCGCGGTATGTTCTTGAGTCTCTATTTTCATTGAACAGCGTTTTAAGGCGTCGCCTGCAGCATGCCCATCCTGGGAGGTCATGCCATCAGGAGTTGGGGGCAGTGTTCCTCGGCCAGCGTTGTCGAGGAGACGGTGTGCTGAGTTACGCTCCTCAGAATTTCCGGTGTGCGTTAGGCCGGTAAAGGCTTTGTTTGTCCCAGAACTTCTCCAACTAATTGGATCATGGAAAGCTTTTAAGAAGCTTTTGAAAAACACATTTCTAGGGGCCAGAGTGATAACAGTGGTGAAGGCATTTGCCTTGAAAGCAGCCCACTCGGGTTCGATCTGTGGCGTCCCACAGGTCCCCTGAGCCCCGCCAGGGGTAGATCCTGAGTGCAGAGGCAGGAGGGACCCCTGAGCATCGCCGGGTGTGGCCCAGAACAAGCCATTTCCGGAGAGTGCTTTGGGACACTGTCTCGGAAAGACTCTCCATCTTGGGTGTTCGCCGACAGCTTTATAACTCTGTATCTAACAATTCGGTTAAAAAGAAACTTAAAAGTTCTCCTCGGGTGGACCGATGGGGCTTCTAACCCTTGGGGTCTACGGTCTTTCCTACACTCGGTGATTCTTGCTCGTCGTGATTTTGGTTCCATCCGGCACCGCGGCAGCCCGGGTTCCATTGTGAATATGGTCCTGTGGGCGCCGCCTCAGGGCTGACCCCATCGAATCAGGAGTGGAGGTGGCAGAACCCCAAGACTCAGTCGCAGTCGATGCCAAGGAGCCTGTTCTGCAGCCAGTGACGGTCACTTCACCTCTCGAGCACTGGTTTCCTTTTGTGTGTGGATGTGAGGACTGTGCGGTGCCAGTATGAGTAGTGAGTGTTACGTGTGTGGGGGGAGGAGATTAGGTTTTGGCCACCACAGTGGCGCTCATGCTGTTGCTGGCTCAAGTCAGGAGCTACCCCGTGGAGCCCGGGGCATGTGATACAGGGACAGCCCTGGGCCCTCCGTGCGCAGAACGCGCCCAGCCTCTTGCGTCTTTGTCCATCCTGCCTTTTTCCCTCCCGGCCTCTGCCTCCTCGCAATCCGCTGTGCACTCCTTCCTGGCCCCCTTATCTCGGTCAGCTCTGGGCCACTTACCGGAATGTCACCCCTCACTCCTCCCGGCCCTCAGTAGCAGGTCCTGATTCTAAATAGGAACCCTTGTGTTTTCCTGGGGAGGGCTCTCCCTGCAGTGCTCGGGGCGCCCCTGTGATCCTCGGCCCACAGACCCAGGGGTGTTTTGCTGCCGGCTCCCTCGAGGTCCCCCCCTGCAGGACCCAGGACTCAGACCCTGTCCCTGCCCCCCAAGGCGCCAGTCTGAACTTTGGCTGTCCTTGAGCACTGCTCAGTATTTGATGTTTCCTGCCTGACGTTGCGTGTGTGGCTTTGGGGCCAGAGCTAGAGGGTTATTCCTGGCTCTTGGCTCTCAGGGGTCACTCCTGGCAGTGCTCAGGAGGCCTTGAGGAACCAGGGGTCGACACTGGGCCTCCAGCATCTAACCCTTTGAGCGTCTTTTGTTATGTGACCTTTGAGCCACACCCAGCAGTGCTCAGGGCTTACTCCTTGCGCTGTGCTCAGGCATTGACCCTACTGGCGGAGCTTGCGGGACCGTGTGTGGTGCCCGGGGTCACACCTGGGTCCGCTGAATGCAAACTCCCGGATTTTCCCGGTGGTGCCGAGTCTGTCGGACACGTTCGTGGTTCCCTTCACATGCATCTGCTTCCGCCCAACTTGCCAGCAGTTGCTCTTCTCTTTCTGCTGGGCCCTCCCGTCTGTGATGTTCCTACTTGTCGAAGTTTGTTGAAATACCGGCTCCTGTCCGGTTTCCCTCCCCTCCGCTCTCCCCTCTGCTGTGCTCAGGGTTTAGCTGTGCTCAGGCAGACCTCCTTTCTCCAATGCCGCGGGAAGAACCTGCCCGCTGCTCTCAGCTTCGGGGGATCCCAGCAAGGCTCCAAGCCTCAGCCTCAGTTCTCTCCCCGCTCTTTCTCCTTTGTCTCTCCCGCCTCCTCTCGCTCGACGTTTGGGTTATACCCAGAAATGCTCAGGGGTCACTCCGGACTCTGCACTCAGGGATCATCCCTGGCGGAGCTCCAGGAGCCTCAGGGAGGCCAGGATGGAGCCCAGGGCGGCTGCTGGCAAGGCCTGCTGTGCCGTCTCCCGTCCCTCCCTCCCTCCTCCCACAAAGGCATCAGGTGACTGGACACAGCACCCACCTTCACAGTGAGACGTTGTCGCAGCTGGGTTTCATCTGCATAGAAAGACCAGTTTCAAAATCCCACACTCACATTATGAAGGGTTAGTCCTTTTGGGGAAAAGCGGTTGAATCCAGTGGAGTTAGTTTTTTGAATACGTAAACATTTTTGTTCATTTGTGTTTTTTTCTGACTACAGGGTATGCTGCCTCTTTTTCTTCTTTTCTATGTTACCGTAAACATATACACACGCATTTCTATATGCAGATATGTACATCTACGTGTTATATGCTTCTCCCATATCCTTTCATCTTGATCTTAGGTTTTGAAGTTTAATTTTAGTCCCCCAAAAATCTTGTGTAAAACCAAGAACTGCAGTCATTTTTATTTTTTTGATTTTATTTTTATTGTCATTCTTTTCGTTTTCAGCCGATGCTCGCAGTGCCCAGGGCTTATTCCTGACTCTGTGCTCAAGGGTCACTCCTGGGGGTGCCCAGGAGTCCTGAGTGATACCAGGAGTGAACTGAGTTGGCCGCATGCTTAACCCCTGTACTCTGTCCCACCCCAGCAGCAGTTTCTGGGTTTTCTTGTTTTGTT